AAAAAAAAGAGGCAAAAATGATGCATGAGGTTTTAGTTTTGTTGATGTAAATGTTGACAGTTGTTTACATTGCTGATGATGACAATGAAATTATGGCTTCTTCTTGTTGGGAAACCAAAGAGTCTACTAATATATGCTTGCACGTATGTATGAAAATACTTAGCTAAACGGTTAATTATGTTGATTTATTAACCAAACCTTATATAAAACGCAGTAGTTTGTATATCACTATTGTCACTGCCATTAATGCTACTGTCATTGTTACTACAGCCACCACCACGACCACCACTGTTACTACTACTACTACTACTACTACTAAAACTAGCAGTCCCTGCTCTGTTTCTCCTATTAGTACTAAAACTTTTTCAGGTAAATAAAGAAAACAGTAAGCAAAACATGTATACATCGGAATGAACAAATGATGTTTCATGGTTCTCTTAGCTGAACAACATTAACAATTACACACTCACATCAGCAAAATACAAATAAAAAATAAGTTTATTTATGGACTTGCAATTTCATTCAGTAAATGTCCGAAGATAATGATTGCGATTACGAAATTACTGAAAGTGAAAAATCTCTAAGGGCTTCGTTTACTCAATTATGATTTGTTGTTATACTAGTAATCAGTTAGTTAGTTAGTTAGTTATTAACTAAAAACTTTTGTAGTAAATATACCAAAAATTGAAATTGTCTGCAACTTATTGGCAAAGTGTGGGAGTTAAAGATAAATAATTTCGTTTACAAGCATCTCGTTAGGTAGACAAGCATTGCTTGTATCTCTTTAGTGATATTTTTCGCTTAATGGTTATGGCACAACTATTAACATTACTTCTTGTAATGAATTCATCAAAATGTCGAAGGACTCAATATATCTTCCAACAAATAGAACTTTTGGGTAAATTTGTTTTTCAAAGTCTATACCTGTACGCAGGCATGCTTAAGCCGTAGAATATGTTATCGATCGTAAATGAAAAATATCTAAAAGATCCGCCACTTGTTGTTGTTGTATACATTTTTGCATAGAAAATACACGTTTTTTACATGAAAACGACTGAAATTATTTCACTCGAACGGTTATCCATCGCTATATTTACATTTATCTCAATAACTGTTCAACAATTTGTGGATGCAGCGACAACAAACGGTTTCTCGTTTGAAATGAACTAGTCATCGAACCATTTTCGCAGGAGTTGAAGCGCTGCTGGACAAGTGCGTGTGTCGTCGTTGCAAAAAAGTTACAATTAGAAGGGCTCGAGTTTGTTCATTAGTGACATCAGCTACCATTTCCTAGTTGAGTGCGTCTAAGCTCTCGCGAATGGGTTTTGTGGTATGGACGGACGGACAGGTGCCATGTAAGAAATTGATCTAGTGTTGTCTTGCGCTCTTCTTTTGAACAGCAAGTCATTCAAATTGATTAATAGTTTCTAACTACGGTTTCGCATTTACTTATCTGACACATCGGAAGATGTCTCGCATACAACCAATGCGGTGATGATCAAAAAGAGTTATTTTATATTATTGGATTATATATTATGCCTTTACGGCAGTTTCGTTAAGATCGACTGAGTTTGATTGATCGAAAGGCTTGAAAGTCATTTGCTTTACATCAATTGCGGTTCAAGTTCTTAAGCGTTTTTGACTTCGCGCTTTGACAAAACTTAGTAAGCTTCTTTGTAGTCTGAGAGAGAGAGAGAGAATTTGAAGCATGTAATTAGTACGAGCCTTGAGGTCAGTTATGCTCTAATAAAAATAGAATCAAGAATTTTCTAAATGAATCCTTCTCTAATTCATAGTTTCGAACAAGAGAAGTAAAAAAAAAAACAAAAACCTAAGTAAAAAAGACTACATTTTCGAAAGAAAACGAGAATTATAACACCTTTATGTTATACGATAACTAAAATTTATTATTATTTTCTTTGTTTTTGCATTTTCAGATGGTAAGTTCTTATCATCACTAAATCCTACAGAACTAACATACGATGGTAAGTGCAATTTCATAACCTCATATTAACACAATTATTTGTTTCATTTTTTTTTTTGTTTTTTGTTTCTTTTGTTTTTATTATTTATTTTAAAATTTATTTCTTAATTTATTATTTAACTACATTTTCAAGCAAAGTTTACGATGACTCACGATGAATACCGTTTATATATATATATATATGATAATAAGAAAAAAATAATAAATGTATAAATCATTTGGTTTTAAAGGAAAAGGAAGGCAGAAAAAATCTTTAATCAAACAGTAGCAATTTCAAGCAGCACATAAATTAATTAAATACTATCGCAGTGTATGGTCAGTTATTAATCATTGCACAACCAAAACATGACGAGAGCTTGTGAAGGGTTTTCTTGTGAATGCTCATAAAATCATAAAATTAAAATCTCGATAATATATGTATATGTTGAGTTGAGTCGCGGTAAATAAATGTGTTCTCCTTAACCTATACCGCTCGCTATCTTACCTCCTTCTGCTCATGCCGACTGATACATGCATGTCCTTATGAAATGCTTGATATGAGAAATTTAGTTTTAAAAGGTAGTTAAAGGCATCAAATTTTAAATAGTTAAAGATAAAAATTCATTACAAGCTTTTCAATTTTAATTAAAATTTTACTATATATTCAAGTTAAAATGCGTTCATTTTTCCTCTTTATTTTGTTTTTATTCATATCTTGTCGGTCAAGTGCTTGTCTACACCTTGTGGTCGGTCTTTCATGAACTTATTTTTATATATGCATGCATGCATATATGTGTATATATATATATACATATATACATATTGAATGTATGTGAGTATGCGGTGAATCAATATAAACGAAAGTGAAGACTGATGGACAGCTCCCGCGCGTTCTTTGATCGATCACGTTTTTAGGGTTGTATAAATTCAACGCCCCATCTCTTTTGAGTTTTTCATGCTCACCTTTTTTATATTATCGTCTCTTATATTATAAAGAACTTATTATAAGAATATTAAAAGATCACCTTTAATGAGTTTTGCTTTTGCGCTTTAAAGATAGTAGATTCTGCCCTTCTGCTTTTCAAAGTTAAACTCTCAATGCCTGCTCATAGGACGCACTTTTCCTGTCATAAAAGTATTTGATGTATTCCAGACAAAGTTTGATAGTTTTTTTCTTTTTTTTCTCTCTCTCTCTCTCTCTCTCTCTGTTTTCGTTTTTTGCGCTTTTTGCAGAGCTTGATTTTTTGCAGACAAAGAAATTTTTATTTTTTGAAAACAATCTAGAAAACTTACGAAATTCCTTTTTATATTTTTTTTTTGTTGTTTTTGTTTTTTTGTTTTTGCCATCGCTAACCGTTAAGAATAAGTTGAGAACAGCTACTGCTTGCGGTAAACGAATTGAAACGCACCTTGATTCAAGTAATAAAAAAATTGGTTTTATAGGAAGTTTTATATTTAGTTTTAATCGAATCTTATCATACCCTTCAGTTTGTAGTTTGACTCTTTAGAAAAAAAAAAAAAGAAAAGAAAACGCTTCACTGGAGGTTAGGGGCAACTTAAGCAAATTCCCAAATATGGGAGAATTTGCAAACTCCTGAAATCGTAAATCAGATTAAAATTATCTTTCGCTGGACTCGGAAACCTATATCAGTAACCATGGGCCCATAGTAAAAAATATATCGTTTTTTAGTGAGTGCACAAGTCCGTGAACTTATGAATAATTTAAAAGTAGCTCTAGCTTCGCGACCTAAATACAAATTGCAATTATCGCAAAACGTGCTCAAATTAAAATCAGTTTCGTCTCAATTGTCTTGCGATTAGGTTTTCGATTTTAGTACATCTCCCTCAATACCCTAAATAGCCGCGCCCAATATTAGATAAAGACTAGTTTCATCAAAAACACCCATCATCTGATGTCACCGTCGTGATAGTATCACACACAGTCAATCTGTTCGTAGAGACGAATTAAAGCTTGGTTTGACGGGAAAATGTTACATAGTTAATGATTAACTTAATAAAATTTCAGGATCATAAAGAATTGTGTATTTTTTTTTTTATAAAAGGAGTTATAAAAGGCGGCCTAAGTTCATAAACCTGAAAATAATAATTTAAAAATTTGGTGCTTACCTTAGCAGTAATACCTTGGCACGTGATTATTGAGTTGTAGCTTAAGAGGAATAAGTCTTAAGTAGAAAGATAGACAGAGAAAGTCACACAGCAATATAGCAGTGAAGGAAGAACGATAACTATTTCAATCTCTTAGCTAAACAAGTAAAAGAGTTATACTCATCTGAGTTCGAATTTTAAATGCGCCCTACTTACAACAACATGCACATCTGGAAATCGCTATGTTTGCAGAGCAGAAGCACATCTAAACAAAATTGTATACCATTCTAGCCAATATTTGCCTTAAGAAGTATTATGTTGACATTAGCATATATACCGCGTTCCGTTGTTCTGTTTCAGTATCTTCCGGTTTGAAAGTTACATTGACGTTGGGCGAGCTACTCAACGTCCATGCAGAGCAAATACACATAGATCTGATGTTATCGATTAAAAAATTTCAGGCATATTGTAGCAAAGGCGTCATAGAGCCCGTTGACTCACTTTCATGACCGATAAAAATCAAATCAAAGTGGACTTAGTGCGGGCTCCATTCGTTTGTGGCAATTATTTAAGAAAATGTGTTCTTTTAAGCGCTATAATGATTTATGACATCCTTAAACTTGTTCTGCTATGACTATTAAGCCTTAACATGTACATGATAACGATGATGATGATAATGATGATAACGATAATGATTGTCACTGTAAAGGTTCGGAACCTGACTGCAATTCGCGTCCCACACTTCTATAAATAGACAGAAATGGATGAACAAAAATCTCAAAACTCAAACTCTGCTACTAGCAAAGATCATTCATTTCGTTTTACGCGAAATATATACGATTTTCTTCTGTTCAGGTCGGTTCGGTTCTGTTTTGTTCTGTTCTGTTTCTGACATAATTATTTTATAAACTTTTGCATGGCGTTATGAAAAAATGTAGCGTAAAAATGTCGGTAGTGTGTTCAGATCATAAAAATCATTTATCGTTTTCTTCTTCTTTAATGCGTTTTTTATATTGTGTTTTGCATATAATTTTTCCTTTTTTTTTTGGTTTTTGTAGTCTTTTTCCCCTCTTCTTAACAGCTCTCTGTTCTGTTGTTGTTGTTATTGTTGTTGTTGAAAATCATAAAAATCAGTTAAAATATTTATGACTTTTTTTTTAAGTAATAATAAAAAACTACAACAACATATTCTTTTACTTATACATACATACATACATATGCATATAGTAAGCGCATAAAAAGTTTCATTCGTATGCAACATTTCGAAAAACGTATAGATTTGCGCTCATTTGTTAGAGTTTATTACACAAATGTTAATAAAACGCAATAGCACCAAAGTGCATCTACAATACACTTCATTTTATAGGCAGAACTAATTTTATTTTAAGTTCTTCGAGGCTTAACACCCAACCGTAGTGGTAGTATTCATACATAAGATGCAAGAGTAGTAGCAGTGAAAAAAGTTATCCAGAGTACAGAGGCCAGATTAAGAGCGGCAGTGCAGTAAGCGAAGCCATTCAAGTACAACATATTCATATATATATTTACACCTACACATATATATTTACATATACATATGTCAATATGTAAATTAAATACAGTAGTAGTTAAATGCTGTAGCGAAAGTGAAAAACAACCAAATATAGTTTATTTTCCCTCCTAGACTAAGAATTCGAAAATTTATCACAGCCTGTTCTTTTCAAATCTCCTATGTGACGAGGATGGGAATTATCAATATTATGAGAAATGTACCCATCCCCTTACAAACATAAAAAGCAATTGGTTACGCTAGCAAGTTTATTATTTTCAATAGTCTTTATATAACTCTGTATCCCATCACATATATGTTTTCATTGATAAAAAGTAATTTTTACGTTAACTGTACTTTCTCTTTTGTGATACTCAAACAAGCAGTTACGTTCAAAGCAATGAATTCTTTTATTAATTCATTCCGTTTGCTTGCTTTCGGCGGTACAGCCAAGAGTGAGGAAAAGGCACTAAGCAATTAGTCTACCTCAGTCTAATCATAGTAGTTAAGAAGCGCGGCTAGCAGGCCGGTATATTCGGGGGGTTTAATCGCCAGACCACGTTTGGTTTGTGATCATAGCTACAGTACATAAGTAAAGACTGCTCCCACTCTCTCTCTCTATCTCTCTCTCTTCAGTGTCTACTCTCACTTCGTTTTCGCCATCGTCGTGTTCCACATGTAGAGGAGATCCTCCTTGTCATCGGTTAGTCAAAAACCGAACTACAATTAATCTTCGACGGAGGTCATATTTTCAGTCCGCGTCCCAGACACTTTCATTTTCTTTTTAGGATTGGCGAAGAAAACACACGAATGGTGATAGAAAACCTTAAGCATTTGAAGACTCAATCGACGCGGTTTAGAAAGTAGGGAATGGTGACAACTGCAACTAACATATAAGTTTTGCCACAAGTATAACATACGATGACCATGCATTCACTATTAACTGTTCATGAAAAGTAAAAAATTGAAACAACCTTCAAAAAGTCTGAAAATCTTACCATTTTTTTAAACTATAGTAAGAGCCGATACGTCAAGAATGTCTATCAAAAGTTCAGAATAAATGATTACGACGTAGGAGTAGAATGATGATTCTCTTAATCCGATAAAGGTTTCTTAGTTACTTGGTAGCAAAAAGAGTCAGATGTTAAGTAGCGGCATCAAGATTTTGCTCTAAGCATCCATATAACTGCTAGAAGGATAAGCGGTCTCGCGCCTGCATTTTTATAACAAGCGATGTGATGATGAAAATAAAATGTCACTCGATTTTGACCAATAAGTAAAAAAGATAAATATTTCAGTTAGGGCGTGTCTTGAGTACAGTAGGGAAGTTAGGTCATCTATTAGTAGAATTTGTTGTTATTAAAAATCAATAGATAGACGGTAGGCGT